CCAATGATGCACATACAATAATGCATGTATTGTTTCATATGCATATATTTCTGTTTGCATAAAATGCAGACTGGTATTTCCTCCCTTATATTCAAACTGCTGTCACAGAGAAGATCCAGGACCACTGTTACAATAGCTATGAGCAAGGCCATTCTTTTTAACAAGGAAATTTGAAAAAAAAAAATATTTGGAATATTATTCTGGTCACAAGTTTTTTTTTTTGTTTTTTTTTTTTTAATATTGTTGTGGTAAGATCCCCATCTGTTTCCTATTTCAGGCAAGAATGAAAAAAAGTGACAGGTGAGGATGTTTTTCTTGTAGTCACAACAAAGTAATTAGTCTCATTAAGTTAACCTTACATGATCACCAAAGTTGTTAGACAGTATGAAATAAATCTATCTTTCCCTTTGATTTTTCATCATATCAACCCATCTTATTCCTATCAGCTCCAGTATATTTATGCACAACCTGCACTTGGATAATGGCTAGAAGTGCTCTAAGACACTGTGTGAAATGGTTGTTTATGAATGGCAAATCCATCAACTAGTTCTACGTGTGAAGTAGTGGAACAAAGAAGTAGTGGAACGATATTTATACCATGTCATGGTGTGCTCTCTATGAGCCCCATATGTCACAAATGTGTATTGTGACATTTTTAATTCAAATGTGTCACCTGTGGATTTTCGGGACAAGTTCTCCAGATAAGGTTTCTAACTATCACAAATGTAACTGAAGAGAGCTCAAACTGAAACTGGGAAGCAGCAGAAACTCTCGCCACCAGCCTGAGCCTGGCATAAGGTTGCTGTGGCTGGAATTCTCTGCAGTCATTGGGTGCCTCTGGCAACCTTAGCAATACAAATATGCTTAATCTAGGCAAGCAGTTTGGTCCTTGGGTTTTATATGTGTGTAAGACAAAAAAGAGTTCTCAGCCACACAGCTCTTAAAGGTGAAACCCTTTCGAGTTACAAAACAGGCAGCACTGACTGAGGATTTGTGAGAGGACGTGGTACTGCACCAAAGTGAGCACTGTATCCACAGAACTGTACCTTTCTTTCATGATAAAACCCAATGCAGAGGGAGCAGTAGGTAAATCTTGCAGACACTTTCCCAAATTTCCTTTTCACTTCTCCTGAAGTGTTTGCTACTCTCCTCTGTCCCCAGTATCAGGTGCCAGTCTCAGACAGGTAGTGTGACTGGGGCCATTTTTTGTATGTGTTTTTGTTTCCTTTGTGGGATTTTTTTGTTTTTTTTTTTTAATTTTTTCCTAAGCTACGTGGGTTGAGAGGAATATTTTGTCTCTCTGCCCTGGCCCTGACTCATGCCAGCCTTGTGGTCTATTCAGTGTCTGTTTTCTCTGCCTCTGAGGCTTGGAGAAGAGACCTGCCACTGTGTCTTCCTTCTGGGAGTGAGACATGAGCTCTGTTTGTGGGTTCACAGGACCAGATGTTGAGTGGAAGGTGGTGTAAAGGATTCAGCCAGCAGTTGCAGCCTGAGCTGCTGGTAAAAACGCTGAAAAAAGAGTGGCCAGGACAGTGGATGTAAAGGGACTGTTGTGGTGTGAGCCCGTAATACAGAAAAGCTTGAGAAACAGTATCAAGCTTTTGATCACTTTCAGTGTTAATGAAAGTCAAACACCTCAGGGCATTTTGATCCTTCATCTTGGATTTTCTTCAGATGCAAAAAAGCCTCTGCCCAGCTGCCAGCTCAGGATGCTTTTTCCTTGAATACAATCCTTCCACTGTTAAGTGCTGCTGAATCATCCTCTGATACATGCTTGTTTCTGTTAGTGTGCAGGGCCTTTGAACACAGTGGAAATAAAATACAGCAGTCTCAAAGCTAGTCTTATAACCTGCACGAATATTCAGGCTTCTGTATTCCTTAACAATGGAGGCTTAATTTTTGAGGTTCATAATTATGTGTTTGTTTTTTAATAAAAAACGCAGAAAAATGTTTTCCAGAAAAAAAGGAATGAAAGGCAGGATTAAATTTTATGAGTACATCTCATGAGTAATAATAATGAATCTATGTATACAACCCTAAGTATTTAGCTGCCAACAGGCAAGCATAGAGCAGAAAAAATATAATCTGAAAATTACTGGAAATTAAGTACATTTACTGGATATACAAGGGCTGCTCTGAAAGTAATGCGTTCTATTTTATTATATTGGCCCACAACACCAGAGGTAGATGGTGGTGGTATGGCAGTAGAGGCTGAATCTTCCCACCAGTATTCCACTACAGGTTACTGCCATGTGACAGATGGCAGCAGAGGGGCACTCTGACACAGTGGCATCTGTCATGGAAGAACATATGAAGCAAAGGTGTGGCACTACTGAATTCCTCCACGTAGAAAAAATGGCATCCAATGACATTTGCCAACATTTGTGAATGTTTATGGAGACCAAACAATGGATATGAGCACAATGAGGTGATGGATTGTGCGTTTCAGCAGTGACAACATGGGTCACCTGCACTGGTGCACATTGTTACAAATGAAGCATGCAGGCATTATTCATCACGGAGGAAAATGCAGTGCTGATGGTGGTGGTTATGTTGAAAAATTGTGTTTTGTAGCTGAGAACTTGCTCTGTCAAAAAGTGTTATTGTGCTATTTGTATTTGTTGCTGTTTCCATGGAAATAATTAGAAGGCATACTTTCGGAGCACCTTACATACACTTACAAATGACTTATCACACATAAAAATTGCTAATATGAATGGCAGCTAGTTTGTCAAATCAGCTACTCTCCTTGTCTTTTCAGTCAGGTTGGGATAGGCTCATGATTTGCTGTAGACTGTGTCAAATGTGAGTACACTGCATTTGTACCTTATGCAGGAAATCCTCACAGTGACTTGAGGGACACCATTTCCTCACCAAGGTGAGACTAATGTTATGGTGGAGGTTTTTTTCTGTAGCATAATAGGTATCATGGGACACAGTAAGTTAACTGAATACTACTGCATGTCCCAGCAGTTTTTCAAAACCACCTGGTTATTATCCCTCATTTACCAAGCATTTTTACCAGCACCAGCCTTATTACCTGCTTTAAAAGTAATTGCTCATGTAATTATTTTCATTAAAATCTCAAGTCTTACATTAAAGATATTTTTATTGTGAGATAATTAATAATATGCATCAGGCCTTGATTCTATTCCAGTCCCTGATCTCTGAGTTGTCAGAGGAGCCAACAGATTAATGCCCCTGGGAAAGGCATTAGCATAGGTTTGCTGGATCAGGACACAACACTGTCTGAAATCAACATCTGACAATTTATAAGCATGCAAGAAACAGCAACGTCAGAGAGATAGAAGGTCTGATATTTCATTGCACAGTCATGTTCAGATATGAGTAAAGGAAGGGAAAAGGAAAGGTGTGTGAGAAAGAGACGGAGGGATGGGGGAATATTGTGGGAAGATAGAGAAAGTGACCACACACTTAATAAAGCTACATTACAGCTTCAGTTAGAATACTGTTTTAGTTCTGCAGCAATAGAATTTATAACAGGTTAGTAGCGGAACATTTTTAGGTTAATCTGCAGGAGTTCACAGCAAAAAGAAAACAGCAGGCATTATCTCATTATGAGAGCAAAGCAGAATTGCAGAGAAGAGGAAAAATCAATAAAAGTATTAGCTAATCCTAGCATCTGGTTGATTGTTTTACATACCGAGGAAGGGGATGGTAGAGGTCATAGGGCATGATCTGCTTGTATCCATCACTGTTAGGAACAATAATGCCAACCCTCTGAGTAGAAGGTACACATAATAAAATAAATACTAAATGATTACATTATACAACTTTTTACACAATTACAAAAACAAAATCAAAACAAAAAAAAACAAAGAAGATATTTTATCTAAGTTGCTACCGCATTTAAAACACACGCTTTCATCCTACAGTTTCCAAGTCATTAAACAATAAATTATACTACTGTTTTTATGAATATACTGATTTTTTACTAAGAACCACCTACTATCACAAAATGAATTATGAATATCACAAAATATGAATTTTTCAAATATTACTTAAATTTCTCGGTTATAATCTGTCATAAGAAAAAAAATTCTCCCATGATACTTAGGTTTGAAGTCACTGAAGACAACAGAACTTCTGTGCAGTTCAGAGAGCTCTAGATTAAGCCCATTTTTAGTAACTGTATGGTTGTTTCTGCCCTTCAGATAAGACTTCTGCTTTTATAGAAGTTAAGATTAGGAACTGAAAGTATCCACATGCAAGAATTTAGGTCCTCAGTTCTATTTCTCCACCTTAAATTCACCCAATTTCATTCATCTTCAGAATCAGTCTCTTTATTTGGATTTTCCTTGAAGCCAGAAAGAGCTGGAGAGAAGAGTAACCTGTCAGAGCTTCTGTTTGTTTGCTTTTTTTTTTTTTTTTTTTTTTTGGCACTGTCAAGACAGTTTGGCAATAATATAGATAAAACCTAGCAATTATCAGAATCGTTATCATGCTAGTAATCTGCAAGATGGATATCACTTGACATATTCTCAAATACAAGATTTCACTGAACTGCTGGCCTGGAATGTTATACTTTTCCATTTTGATAGATTCTGACTCAGAGTAACTCTTTATGCTCATCCTCTCCCAATTATCTCACATGACTATTAATATTGAACATGATCATAGAGCACCTCATATATCACCTCTGTCAAAGCCAGGGTGCAATAGGGGACTTGGGGGCGGGTGGACAGAGCCATCAAAGAGTAAATACTAGGTGCAAAAGAATAGAGAGCATGTCCCTGTCCAAGTAACAAAGAGAGGAGACTCACTGAAAAGAATGAGGGTGGTGTTTGAGAGTATTTTACAGAAGAGAGATGATAGTTATGTTGGGTTTCCGTAAGGAGGAAGGAGAAAAGGAGGTGGAAGAGAAAAAGTACCTTCATTCTCAAAACAGTTCCTTGTAAAGTGGTCTAAATATTCAGAGGAGACTTGATATACTAAGGGTTTTTTTTTTTTTTTTTTGTGCAATTTGACCGTGACAGAAGGATGGATTCCATTGTGTTTTCACAGTGAAGAGTCAGCATTAGGTCAGTGTGCTGGAATTTTCCAGCTAATGTGCCGAAAGATGCAGAAACCCTCTGAGCATGTCATGGGGACCTGGATGGCTCCTTATCAGCTTATCAATCTCTGCAGTCACAGGAGTCCCTTACGTGGATTTGTATATTTGTATCTAGAGAGAACTGTTTATCTCCACAAAATCTAAACGTGCAGAGGATGGCAGATTTGGTCCTGGGAAACTTTGGAAAAGACAAATAGGTCACTTATACTATGGCCAGTTAGCAAGACTTTTTGGATTTTGTTTGACTGGTTAATGCTTGCAAAAGTTTCAGAAATTCTATAGTTGTATTTTAAAAAGATGGAAAGAAACCATTTTTTCTCCTTTTCTTCTTTTTTCTTTTTATTTTTCATTTTATTTTCCTTTTTCTTTTTCTTTTGGTTCATACTCTTGAGAATCTGCTGTTTTCCTGAGTGTTCTACCACTGTTGCTGAAGATCTACTCTGAAGCCTTTTGCACTTTCCAGCTCATCAGCTTGCTGAGGAGTGGTTGGAAAAAAGATTAATATACCAAGTTCAGAAATGAAATAATTATACTATAAAAGCATCTAGTGCCTAAGAAAGAAACGGATTTCAAAACATTTCTCTCACTGCAGTGAGAAATATTTTCTTTCTAACAAACATTGTCTGTATGCATAATCCAGGCCTGCATGTATTAGAATGCATAATATTCAAGGCCATTCCAATGGAAATAACTGTACTACATCCAAACACTGTTATGAAGACTAAATAACATTTACAAAGCACTAAATTAATATTGTCATTGGAAAGGCTTGACACTCAAAGAATTCTACATTCATGAACTGCATTTCTGTAAATGGTATAAAGCTCCACAGAATTATTGACACTGCCCTTGTGCATGTGAGAGGCTGCCAAAAGTTCACACACCGGCTCTTACAGATCCAGGTAAGCTCCATGATCAGAGTGAGGACAAAGTGCCTGACAGTGATATGCAAAGGTTACATTTATGGTTTTAAATATCAATTTGAAGGCACAGCAGAACAGCATATGGTCATTGCACCATTAATGGCAACTGCATCTTTGTAAGCTTTCTAAGTCCTATGTACTGTTTTGTTGAGTGTGTATGTGTGTTTATAGTTCAGAGAAAAAGAGCTGACCTAAGCAAAGTATAGAAGAAGTACTTCCTAGATGATTTTGGTGAATCTGTACTTAAGTAGACTGAGTGGCTTAAATTCCATGAACCTATCAGCACATCATAATCCTACAAAAATATGGAAAATATCTAGGATATGGGCTTTGTTCACTGCACATTACTTGGACAACATAAAGAGGATAATGTACTAAATAAGCTACTAATGAGCTTAACAGAGAGAGCTACTAATAATTTTTCTACTGCACTGAGATTTCTGTCTGGCACTGAAGTAGCAGACTGGATTAATTTACACAACATTCGGAACAAACTTGCTGCAGAAGGAGCAGGAGAGCATGAAGCAACTTTGAAGAACTGTTGTGTCTCTCATGCCTGAAACCTCTTGGACCTACAAGTTGTGTCACATATTCTGAGAATTGGTTTGTTTTCCTTCTGAGTACAGGCAATGACAGTGCAATTGCTCTTCCAGAGCATATGTTCAGCTGGAGCTGGAACTGCACATGCCAGAGGTGGGTGTGTTGTACCCAGGTCTGCCATCCATGCAAATATTTGGCTTTCTGATGGGACAGGTACCTGCAGCAGCTTTCCTTGAAAGTATTCCTCCACAGCTACTTTCTTCACTTAAGCTAACCCCTTCACATAAATGGCAGGCTTGAATATCTCTGTCCTGTAGCTCCCTGATAACTCTCTTGGACTATGTGTCAGTTCTTCCTACCTCCCTTTCCTGCATGTCCATGGCTCTTGGGTCAGCATCTGCCAAGCTGAGCAGGCGCCCGGGGGCTGAGAAGGGCTGACCACACTCCCTGTTGCCTGGAATTGCTACTTCTTTCCCAATGGGGACTCACACAATAACTCATGAAATGAAAGAAAATACTTGGGAGATATGAAAAAATTCATCATATATGACAAGACAAGGATTTAGCAACCAAGCAATTAACCCCATGAGAGCTCTGATTATCACTAGACAGATTACAGGCTTGTGAAAAAGTCTCAAATTTAACTCTACAAATCCTGTCACTAGAGTGGTGTGTGATATTGCTCCCACTTGGCACGGTGCTCAGTAATAATAAAACAGAGTGATATTGTCACCTTTTGCTACAAGATCACTGTCTGCCCTGAGAAAAAGATAATAAGATCCTTAGAAAGATGGTATCTGTTAAGGTTTCCATATGCTGGTCTTTAAAATTATCACAATTTCTATTCAGAGCTAGGATTGATGGCATCTACTGCAATACCTTAGTACAGGTAAAGCTGGTTCTTGAATACTTACTTTTGCAAGTACTGCGTGTTGTAATTCTCAGATATACAACCAGTATGAATTCCATTGTATTTATTCCTTTAGGTATCAGTGATTTTATGATTAGTTTTTGATATTGCACTCTATCAGTATGGGACTTGAAGATTTATGATGTATTCTGTTTTTAATGATTTTTGCATCTTTAAAGACTGGTAGAAAGCAACTGCCCCTACCTAAACATGTTTTAAATAGACTCTTGTTGTATTAGGCACCAACGAGGCTATGGGATGTGACGCGATAGGACCTCCCCTAGTCAGTGATTGGACAATGCATGCTTAAGGGGTGTAGATGAAGTAGAACGTGAGTGTATTTAAATGGATGCCATGTGATAATAAGGGCCATTTTACTGTTCACCACATTGGTGTATGCCGGCATTTCTTGGTCCTGATCATGGAGGGGCAACAGACTCTCATTGGATATTTAATTAACCAATGCGAGATATTGTTGAGAAAGCTGTATTTTTGTGCCACCCTCCAGAAACCCCCCACTTTAGACAGAAAACTCAGCACAATACTTCATCTTTGTAATAAATTACTTCCTCGTGGTGTACAGACTTGAAATTCTAGAAAATACTGTTTACTTATCACTATCACAGACTCCTGAAGTCTAAGCTTTTTACAGAACTTGAAATAGGTGTTATTTCTTCAAAGCAGCAAAAATACTTACTTCCTGTTGCATCACTTCTGTAATGCTTCTGAAAATGTTCACCTTTTTCATTCTGCTTAATATTTTATGGTGGTTTGGATAAGGAGTGATTGAGGCTAGTACAGAAATTTGCTATGTTAACAATGGACTTTCCAGTGCAAATATCTTTTACTGACCACCTTACTACTTGCTGTAATTTTGTTCTCTTCTGGATGAAGGATGTAATAAAACAGACTATTTGCCATAACTTCATCTTCGATGGACAGATGTCTCTTTTTGATGCTTATTACAGTACAAGGTTTTCTTTCCCACCATGTGGTTTGTTATCTGATGCATCCTGACAGCTTTTTTTTGCTTATCTTTTGTCTTTCTTTAACATAAATTACCTCCTGAATTTGCTCTGCTATTCATGTATTTGCTCTGATGGATGTTTCCTGGCCTACCCTTTCTGCCTGTTCTGACAAACTCATTTTATAACTTAATTTAAATGCCTTCTGCCCTACCCAAGAATTCTAGTTTTTGCCTTCTTGACTTGAAAAGAAAATTGCTATTTTATGCATTAGGAGTATCTGCAGATGGTCTTTAACCTACA